CTGAGCAACCAGTACATTGAACAAGTCTGGTCTAAGACATCAATCAACAATAACAACAACAAAAAGACAAGATTTGATACACTCTATAAGCRTGTTATAATTCATTTTTGCACAACAAATGATTGCTACACGTTGCCATGCAAGCAAAACTGAGCAAACGTTCAATCTGATTGTGTATTTTTACTGATATGATGTGTCTAATACGTCCAGGTGGGATACAAACTCACCACATTTCCTCACTCTGCTGCTGTCTTTAGTCACTCTCCTCTACATCTTTGTTGTAATMATTTCTATCAATAATCAWTGGGCTTTTTTTTGTCTCTTCCAGTACAGATTAGGTGCACCTGGACCASTCCTTCTGTGTTTGTCTGTGTCTRTTTCCTGTACCCKTAAACCCAGKTGGTCGAGGCAGATGGTTGTTAGTCCTGAGCCTGGTTCTGCTGGAGGTTTCTTCCTGTTAAAAGGGAGTTTTCCTTTCCACTGTCACCAGTGCGCTGCTCAGGATGGGGGACTTTGATGAAGTGATTCTAAGAAAGCTGCTGGCTTCCTTAGATTMTTTTGCGTGTGGTGTACAGTGCCCTAAGATGACATATGTTGTGACTTGGCGCTAATATAAATAAACCGAGTTGAGTACGATTCCTAAGTTTCAGGTCAAGGTGTGGCCCATCAGACCCCTTGAGAGGGAAAAAAAGAGGATTGAGGAGAAAATCTCATTAGAAAGTGAAGCTGACTGTGATCAAAGTAGAACCCAACCTAGAAGTTTTCTGCCAAAGTATCTCAAGAAAGAAAACTTGAGTGAAAACAATATTAGGCATTTTTAGCTCTCTTRGCTGTTCAATTAAAGTGTTAACAATGTCTTTTATTCAGTTTTATTACACATCATTGGTCATGCAGGGTAAGTGATTGCATGGTGGCYTCTAAACTATCTTGTTGCAAATGTTTTGAGTCCATCTCTCAAAGCAAATCTTCTCAAATTGTTTTCTACTCCAGGTAAGATACTATCTACTCAWAAGAACACCACGATTCCTTCAAGTTCATGATTCTAACTTTGTCCCTTCCAACATCCACAGTAAAAGTGTCACCGCTGCTCGAAGTTTCAAAAAAAAAAAAAAGTCCTGGCATGACCCCCCGCTGGCGTATGTGTGGGCAGGAGTTGAATCCAATATGACCTTTGGTGAAATGTGACAGCAGAGCTCTACCAGAGTGCCGCCTGACAAGTCTGCCAAATGATTTTCTCCCCATGCATGCTCCTTCCTTTAATGACACTCAAACTATGAATCAAACAGGAGCCAGGGGGTCCTGACAACATTGCACGTCTCTGCAGTGCAGCAGCACACTTGTCATGTACACACTGTTAAACYGYGGGCTCCYCAGGTCACTTTCAACACACACATCYCATTTTTACTTCCTGTTTTATTCAGCATTTATAAGTTTGTCAAAGCAGCAGGCAGACGTTTAGAGTTAGTTTTGGATGTTAGTTTTGCATTTGCAGTAGTTTACAGTTGTTTCCATCTGTGTTATTCTTTCTTCACACCCCCCCACACCCGCCATTATTTATAAAATCTTGCATGTCTCAACCCTCATCATCTGCATAAACTGCATCAGAGCTTATGTTTGAGTTTCATCCAGATGTTCGACTCATAATGGGTTTATAATAACTCAGTGTTTGAGGAGTTCCTATGAGAAGCCTCAG